GTCCTCAGACCCCCATAATCACTTACACCCAGAGAATGGATAAGGAAAGGGACTTCGGAGTCAGACCCCCTGGTTCTGGGTCTTTCATTCATTGGCCTAATACCCTTGGACGAGTCACTCAACCTCACTAAGCCTGTGAAATGAGTTGATAACACCTGTCTCGTGGTCATTGTGGGGATTACATGGGCTGGTACTTGGTCGTTGCAGAGAGAATCGTTGATGATCGTGGCAGATCGTATTTCACAAAGATGGCCACAACAAGAACTCCTGTCCCACATGCCCTTCTAGAACATTGTCACCCCATCAAGAGATGGAGTGCAAATCACCCGCACTCCTTGAATCTGGGCAAATTTATGACTCACTTGTAACTAATGTGACATATGACACTAAATGACTTCCAAGGCTGGGTCATAAAAGGCTGTTCAGCTCTTGCCTTGTTCACTGGAACACTTGTGTTTGGAGCACTGAGTTGACATCATGTCAAAGACCTTACATGAGGCCACCATACTGTGAGGAAGCACAGACCGCACACAGGTGTTCTGGCTGTCAGCCCCAGCTGAGGTCCTGGCTGAAAACGGGCGTCAGTTGCCAAACAGTGAGTGAAGATGCCTCCAGATGATTCCAGCCCCCAGCCATCCAATTGCCCCCCACGCCTCCCAGCCTTTGAATCGTCCCAGCTGAAGCCTCAGACATCAAGGAGGAGGGACAAGCCATCCTTGCTGTGCCCAGTGTTAATTCCACACCCACGAAATCCGTCAACATAACAGAAGGGTTGTTTTATGCCTCTAGGTTTGGGGCTGGCTTGTTACACAGCAGTAGTAACTAGAACAAGGATAAAGATGCTGTCTTGCCAAATCTCTCTCTTTTTATATCTGAATCTGACCACTTCTCCCTGTCCATCTCCACTTCTACCATCATAGCTTGGACCCTTGTCTTTTTTTTTTTTTTTTGGACCCTTGTCTTTGACCTGCATCGAATTCCAAACTTGTCTTTCTGCCTCCTGTCTTGACCCTCTAAACCTCCCTCTCCCACACACATCTTTCTGAAATGCAAATATGTCCCAATTACCTTCCCCAATCCTTCCCCAAGTAATGACTCCCAGGCATCTCTCATAAAAGTCTAGAGCGATTAATCACAACATTGAAAGATTCAGAGTGTAGTGTACCTCACTATAAAGAGGTACTTTACCTTTATCCCAGCGCACTCTGATCCTGCCTGGAAAAAAAAAAGATAAAGAACATGATGGTGCTCAGAGCATTTGATATTTTTGGAAACAGGAAGTAAGTTCTTTACTTGGGAAACATGTAAGTACTCTGAGTTTACCCATCCTTGAAAAATTATCTTAAAACCCTTCAGGCCCTGAGAATTCCAGATAGGTAAAAAATGATATACTCTTGAGTTAGTTATTTAACTGCATGTGGAAAAATTAAATATAGTTTAGTCTTATGTGCTTTTCAACCACACAACGTTTCTTAGGTGGGTCAACAATGAAAACAAGGATCTGGCCAGGGATGCTGGGTGCAGGAGGCCCAGGTGAGCAGACCCAGGCATTCAGGGTCCTTACTGATAAAAAAAAAAATCTGCCCCATGGGACTCGACAATCCAACATCTCCCCCAAATTCACCTTTTAAGTGTCAGCAAACAGACCAGATAAAACTTTGAACTTAAAATGGGATGCTTGCTTTTTGGCAAATGCATTTTAAAGGCTGTTGCTCTTCAGAGGTTGTTTTTAACTGACCCTTTGGAATATGAGGCTGCACTAGGTGTACCTTCAACTCGTAGCTGTTTCAGAAATTCAAATTGGGAGGACTTCATTCCTGGTTACTTCCATGGTATGTGGTCAAGATCATTTGGGAAATGTAGTAAAATTTCATAGTTAACTGAGCAAATGAAAAAACCCTTTCCAGAGGGGGAAAATGGAAATAACTTTTAAAAATGCCCTTTGTCTTTTAACCATGAAGTTTTGCCTTGACTGTGGCTGCTTGCCACCGTCATTTTTAGAGCTAAGGTCTCTCATATAAAGCCTAAAATTCTTCTGTTGAAAGGCACTTCCTTCTGCTACTTTATCACCTTCCTGGTTTTGTCTAATCTCACCCAGATTACAGTCGTATTTCTTGGCTTTTTAAAATGTGCACATTAAAATTTCAAACACAGAGTCTTTGCTCTGCAGTCTTGACTTTTCGTGCACCCTTAGACGTATTTTGGGTCTCTTACAAAGAAGAATGTTTTGCTTTAAATAATCTTATGTCTTTAAACCTACTTTGTCATGTCCAACTTCTAAAATTTTCATGCATTCTGATGAGGTATTCTATTTAGAGAGTATTTTGTTTTAATTAAGCCCATCTTAAGAGACATTTGGTTTTTGCCAAGAATGTGCTTTCTCCCTTACAAATCAGTTATATTTATAACATTCATAAACTAAGTCATAGCAAAGGCAAAATTTTAGCTGCACTGTGACTGTGTCTTCTAAGTTCATGGGGAATTAAAGAGAATAAGACGGGTTAAGACAAAACATGATAGCAAATCAAGACACTGTAAACACACACGGACTTTATCTTCCATAATTTTTTTCTTCTGAAATGCTGGGTTTTAAAATTGTTTTATAGAACAATTTCTCATCTCTGAAAAGAATGCGGATGGTAGGTTGTTATATTTGTGAGCAAATTGTGGGAAAAAGCTACGCTAGAAACTCTTAATTCTTCCTTTGCTCAATTAGGCTGCATTTAAAAATTCAAGTTTATTTTTTCCTGAATATTACAATGTACATCCACATAATAGAATATATAGAAAATACAGAAAAATAGAGACATGAAAATTAAAGTCATCTGTCTCTCTCCTTTTTTTTAGATATTATTCTTTTTATATTTATTTATTTATTTGGTTGCACCAGGTCTTATTTGCAGCAGGTGGGCTCCTTAGTTGTGGCATGCGAACTCTTAGTTGCAGCATGTGGGATCTAGTTCCCTGACCAGGGATCAATCCCAGGCCCCCTGCATTGGGAGCATGGAGTCTTAGCCACTGCGCCACCAGGGAAGACCCTAAAGTCATCTATCTCTTATCAAGAGGCAACCAATATTACTATTTTGTTCTATTTTGTTGGTAATATTTCGTATATAACTTTTTTTCTTATGTGGTTAGGATCATATCATATATGTATGTTTTTTATCCTGCTTTTTTTATTGTGGTAAAAAGTGCACATAACAAAATCTACCATTTTTTTAAACATCTTTATTGGAGTATAATTGCTTTATTGTGTTCTGTTGGTTTCTGCTGTATAACAAAGTGAATCAGCTATATGCATACATATATCCCCATGTCCCCTCCCTCTTGCGTCTCCCTCCCACCCTCCTTATCCCACCCCTCTAGGTGGTTGCAAAGCACCGAGCTGATCTCCCCATGCTATGCACCTGCTTCCCACTAGCTATCTATTTTACATTTGGTAGTGTGTATATGTCCATGCTACTCTCTCACTTTGTCCCAGCTTACCCTTCGCCCTCCCCGTGTCCTCAAGTCCATTCTCTATGTCTGCATCTTTATTCCTGTCCTGCCCCTAGGTTCATCAGAACCATTTTTTTTTTTAGACTCCATATATATGTGTTAGCATATGATATTTGTTTTTCTCTTTCTGACTTACTTCATTCTGTATGACAGACTCTAGGTCCATCCACCTCACTACAAATAACTCAATTTCATTTCTTTTTATGGCTGAGTAATATTCCATTGTATATATGTGCCACATCTTCTTTATCCATTCACCTGTCGATGGACACTTAGGTTGCTTCCATGTCCTGGCTATTGTAACTAGTGCTGGAATGAACATTGTTTAACCATTTTAAAACGTACAGTTCAGTAGCATTAAGTCCATTTACATTTTTGCACAACCATCACTGTCATCCATCTTGAGAACTTTTTCATTTTCCCAAATTGCAACTTGGTACCCATTAAATAATAACTCACCATTCTCCCTTCCTTTCAGCCCCTGGCAACTACCATTCTACTTTTTGTCTCTATGAATCCGTCTCTATGAATCCGTCTCTATGTTATCCTGCTTTTTTGAACAATATTATATCATAAGTATTTTCCCATATTATTAGGATCATTTAATGACTGCTTTCCATTCCATTGTATGGATTTGTGTAATGATTTACTGAACTGTAGCCCTACTGTTGGTCTTCTAGGCTTTTTCTACTTTTCCATTATAAATAATACTTTGATTAGCATTGGGGACATAAAACATTATCTGTTCTTCTGTGTTTTTTAGGATCGAGTCCTAGAAGGGGAAATTATGGGGTGAAAGTGTGTGAACTTTTTTTTGTTTTTTGGGTTTTTTTCGAGAATTTAAATATTTTATTATATAAAGTTACACCCAAAATTGTGCTTCATTTTTTCACTATATACTTTAACTCAAGGACGTTTGTGAAAGTAGTACACTTCAGAAATCCTGGAAGAAATTCCACTGGCTATAGGCTATTTAAATACTGCTTACAGAAAGTATTAAAAAAAACAACAACAGAGGAGTACAAAAGAACTTATTTATAAAACAGAAGTAGAGTAACAGATGTAGAAAAGAAACTCATGGTTACCAGGGGATAAGGGTGGGGGGGGTGGATAAACTGGGAGATTGGGACTGACATGTACATACTACTATACATAAAACAGATAACTAATAAGAACCTGTTGTATAGCACAGGGAACTCTACTCAATACTCTGTAATGGCCTATATGGGAAAAGAATCTTAAAAAAGAAAAGGAGTGCATGTGTGTAACTGATTCACTTTGCTGTATACCCAAAACTAACACAACATTGTAAATCAACCACACCCCAATAAAATTTTTTTAAAGTATTAAAGGAAAGCCAGGATACACTTAAATCAAAGGGATGAATGCTTAACATACAGCGTAATGTTTTTCATTCACTGATAAACTAAAGGTCCATTTCAATCTCTCGTATACTTCATTGGTTTCGTTAGCAAGCAAAGCCCTGAAAGGGACGGCTTCATCTAGTCCTCAGACTCGGATCCATCTTCATCTTGACTAATCTGGAAGTAACGAAGTTCATCAGTCTCCTTGTCGGATGCGACCACATGGAGCCAATCACGAAGATTGTTCTTTTGAAGGTATTTCTTGGGAAGGTGTTTCAAATACCTTTTAGAGAACTGTTTCTCAGAAACAACTGTGATTTTATTCTTGAAGCGTTCAACGTGAACGACATTCCCAAGATTTCCAGTTTTTCCATTCACTTTAACCTTCTCCCGTAGAAACTGTTCAAAATTTCCAGAATCAAAAATTCCATCTTCTACTGGATGAGTAAGGTCCAAATTAAACTTCCAGGTTGACTTCTTAGGCTTCTTGTCTTTCTTCACCGCCATCTTGCACGCCGGCGGCGCGATCAGAGCGGGTGTGAACGTTTGAAAGGCTTTCTAAAATATAAATTTATTTATTTATTTAGTATTTATTTTGGGCTGCGTTGGGTCTTCGTTGCTGCACGCGGGCTTTCTCTAGTTGCAGCGAGCGGGGGCTGCTCTTTGTTGCGGTGCGCGGGCTTCTCATTGCAGTGTCTTCTCTTGTTGCGGAGCACGGGCTCTAGGCGCGTGGGCTTCAGTAGTTGTGGCAGTGGGCTCAGTAGTTGTGGCTCCTGGGCTCTAGAGCGCAGGCTCAGTAGTTGTGGTGCACGGGTTTAGTTGCTCTGCGGCATGTGGGATCTTCCTGGACCAGGGCTTGAACCCATGTCCCCTTCACTAGCAGGAGGATTCTTAACCACCACGCCACTAGGCAAGCCCCTGAAAGGCTTTTAAAAGATACTATCAATTTACTCTTCCTACAGGGTTTTACCCATTCACACGTGCCTTCCTCAGCACAGGTAAATCTCTCTCTCTCTCTTTTTTTTCTTTTTTGCTAATTGAATTGCTGGTAAGATTCATTGTATTTATTTATATTTTAAATCATTTATCATCTCTTGCAAATGGCATGTTTGTATTCAGCTTAATAATCTAGGGTCGAAACTGCAGTGAAAGCTAAGCTTGCTGAGATGTAGCCACTCTTCTGAAAAATTCTACAGGGACACTGACTTTCGGGGTGTACTGCTGAGTTTCAGGGGTGCACGTCACCTGTCCTTCATGTCAGATTTCAAATCTCATGTAGGATTTTTTTCCTGCTTTCTAGCAAATTTCTGAGCTGCCCTCCAGTGCACCTTGGAGAGGTGGAAAGGGGCCTCCCAAAGGGGCTAGGACGTGGGTCCTAAGCTGTGTGATGGTGGGCAACGAATCACCTCTCTGGGCCTCCCCGCCCACTCCGAGGGCTCGCCTGCTCTCAAACCCACAGGAATAATAACACACGCTTAAGGCCTCCAGGGTTGGGCGAGCTCCAACAAGGAAAGTATTTGGCACACAGTAAATGCTGAGCTCTGACCTGGTGATTCCTATTTGATGGATGTGTAAGCGGAAGGTGATACAATAGTAACGTTTGTTCCTCTCTCTTATAAGCCGATTCTCAAGAGGGAGGTAGTGTATTCTGACAACTAGACCACCTGTTTTATTGATTGAAGAATGTCAGCGAGGACCCTGGCTCTGCATTCTAGAGCCATTCCATTCCATTCTAGAAATGTTCACATCAGGGTGTCTCCTATTTTTTTTCATAGTAGTTAATACATGCCAGGCACATAATGTAAATGATCTGTAATCTTAGGAACAACTCTGAAAGGCAGGTATTACTGTCTCTCGTTGATAGACCAAGAAGCTGAGGCACAGAGAGGTCAATCACCTTGCCCTGAGGCACACAGCAGTGAGCTCCAGGGACCTCTCTTCATTCTGGGCTGGGAACCATTGACAGATTTTTAACTGAGGTGAAATTCGCACAACATAAAGTTAACTATTTTTTTAAAAATTTCCCTTCCCCCCCCCCTCCCCTCTCCCCACTGGTAACCACTAGTTTGTTCTTTATATCTGTGAGGTCTGCTTCTTTTTTGTTATATTCACTAGTTGGATGTATTTTTTAGCTCTGTGATACATTTCTTTTCTTTCTTTCTTTCTTTTTTTTTTTTGCGGTACATGGGCCTCTCACTGTTGTGGCCTCTCCCGTTGCGGAGCACAGGCTCCGGACGCGCAGGCTCAGCGGCCATGGCTCACGGGCCCAGCCACTCCGCGGCACGTGGGATCTTCCCGGATCGGGGCACGAACCCGTGTCCCCTGCATCGGCAGGCGGACTCTCAACCACTGCGTCACCAGGGAAGCCCCTTTTTTTTTTTTCTAAATGTATTTATTTATTTTATTTTCGGCTGCGTTTTGGCCTTAGTTGCGGCCGGCGGGTTTCTCTCTAGCTGTGGCGTGCAGGCTTAGTTGCCCCGTGGCATGTGGGATCTTAGTTCCCAGACCAGGGATTGAACCTGCGTCCCCTGCATTGGAAGGCGGGTTCTGAACCACTGGACCACCAGGGAAGCCCCGTAAAGTTAACTATTTTAAAGTGAACAATTCAGTGGCATTTAGTGCATTTACAGTGTTGTGTCGCCACCACAGCTATCGAGTTCCAAAATATTTTCATCGTCCCCAAAGGAAACCCGGTACCCATTAAGTGGTCACTGCCCATTCCTCCCGCCCTCCAGCATCTAGCCACCATCAATCTGCCTCTGTCTCTGTGGCTCTACCTAGTCTACATATTTCATGTAAATGGAATCATACAGCATGGGATCTTCTGTGTCTGGCTTCTTTCACTTAGCGTAATGTTTTCAAGGCTCATCACATAGCATGTATCAATACTTCATCCCTTTTTATGGTTGAGAAATATTCCATTATATAATATATACATAATTGTGTATCTAATAATGTATATTAAAATACTTTATATATAAAAACACAATTTGTTTATTCATTTATCCATTGATGGCCATTTTGGCTGTTTTCATCTTTTTGCTATTTGCTATTTGAATAATGCTTCTATGAACTGTGTATGTAAGTTGACCCTTGAACAACATCAGTTTGAACTGTATGGCAGACGTTTTTCGATAGTCAATACTAAGGTACTGCATGATCCGTGGTTGGTTGAATCTGGGGACAGGGAACCTCGGATATGGGGGAACTCCATATGTGAAGGGCCGACTATAAGTTAAATGCAGATTTTCAACTGGGCAGAGGGTCGGTGTCCCTGACCCCCCTCATTGTTCAATGGTCAGCTGTATTTGTTTTAATACCTGTTTTCAATCCTTTTGGGTATACGATACACCTAGGAGTGAAATTGCTGGGTCGCATGGTGATTCTATCTTTAACTTTTTGATGCACTGTCAAGCTGTGTTCCACAACGGCTGCACCATTTTACATTCCCACCAGCAAGGCACGAGGGTGCCAGTTTCCCACATCCTCAGATGGGGACCCTACCTTGATTCTGGGGGGGGGCCCCCTCTGATTCACGGTCACAGTTTTGTCCATCATTAGTTTTGATAACCTCCACCGCTGTTTCCCTCCATGATTCACCAGATGGAATGTTGGCCGGAGAGCAGCTGTTGTGATTTGGGAATGGCCTTCAATTCTGTTAACCTGAAAATTCACACAGTCTGAAGAGCTGGAAGGGACTTTGGAACAAATGTAGTACAGACATATTTTCTCTTATTTCTACTTGAATGTTTCCTGTGATGGGGAGCTCACTCCACCATGGGGGGGACAGTTACATTGTCAGACAACTGTCTTGAGGGCGTTGAGTTGACTGAGGAAAGAAACAGGGAGGGACCTTCCTGGCAGAGGAAAAGTCATAGCAATATTTTCCAACTTGGACCCGTGCGCTGCACTGCCCATATCATCAGAGACCTCGCCGGGGCGGGTCCTCTAGTGGGTAACCCTGGACGAGTTTCAGTCACCATGCACAGCCCCTCCCTGCTTCATCATCAGTCCATTTCCTTTTTTTTTAAACATTTTATTTATTTATTTATTTGTCTCTGTCGGGTCTTTGTTGCTGCCTGCGGGATCTGCGTTGCAGCATGTGGGATCTAGTTCCCTGACCAGGGATCGAACCCAGGCCCCATGCGTTGGGAACGCGGAGTCTTAGCCACTGTTCCACCAGGGAAGTCCCCATCCATCCCTTTCTTAAACGTCTGGTGGCATTTCTTGATCTGTGAGTCTGATCCCCTTCATGACCCCAGTCTTGAGTTTTTTAGGAGACACTTTGTTTTCAATCCTCCAGGACAGGCAAATGCGACGTCTATAATTAAGTATGCCTGTTATTAAATTCCACACCTTAATGGATAGGTGAGTGGAGTGCCAGGCAAGGAAGTAAAATGTGCCTCAAAAGTCATAGAAACTCAGACTTGAGTTTGCCTGGTGGGATGCAAATGAAAAAGTCCTCCAGCAGTTGAGCTACAAATTGTGTCTTTGCCACGGAACTTCTCACCGTTTCCTGATACGCCGCTTCTTGCTCCCAAGGAAGAGTACCTGGGATTTAAACTGATGAATAAGTCAACTCTTAGTTGTCAGTGATGGCTGGGGACAAGGGTGATACATAAACAAACAGGTAACTTTCAAATTGCATTTTATCTGCTATCATTATAACTTCTTCCCCTACCAAATTTTCTCTGAGTAGCAAAATGGGACTATTTGGAAGCCTTTTTTCTTTCTATTTTGTTCTTCCTTTCTGATCTTGCGGGATGTGAATGATCCAAGGGCTGGGTACTCATTGCCCAAGTAAGAAGCAGCTACAAAATCATTAGATGAGAAGACCTAAATAGACATTTCTCCAAAGAAGAATACAAATGGCCAAGAGGCACATGAAAAGACTCTCATCATCGATAATTGTTGGAGAAATGCAAATCAAAACTACAATGAAGTTCCACCTCACACCAGTCAGAATGGCCATCATTAAAAACTCTACAAATAACAAATGCTGGAGAGGATGTGGAGAAAAGGGGACCCTCCTACACTGTTGGTGGGAATGTAAGTTGGTGCAGCCACTGTGGAAAACCGTATGGAGGTTCCTCAGAAAACTAAAAATAGAGCTACCATACGATCCAGCAATCCCACTTCTGCGTATATATCCAGACAAAACTCTAATTCAAAAAGATACATGCATCCCTATGTTCACAGCAGCACTATTCACAATAGCCAAGACACGGAAACAACCTAAATGTCCATCAACAGATGAATGGATAGAGAAGATGTGGTACCTATATACAATGGAATACTACTCAGCCATAAAAAAGAGTGAAATAATGCCATTTGCAGCAACATGGATGCAACTAGAGATTATCTTACTAAGTGAAGTAAGTCAGAAAGAGAAAGACAAATACCATATGATATCACTTATATGTGGAATCTAAAATATGACACAAATGAACCTATCTATGAAACAGAAACAGACTCACAGACATAGAGAACAGACTGGTGGTTGTCAAGGGGGAGGGGGTTGGTGGAGG